ATTATCGTAATATAACAAGTCAGTCACTAATTAGTCAGATCTCTTATGTAACCTTTAAGATTGGTAAATTGGGTTGAAAGAGGTACATTAGATTTGTTGAGTGGTTTGCTTGAAAAGTGGTTGAATTCTACTAGGACAGGATGTTTTTGGTTAAGTGGGTTAAATATACTAGTGTACTTTTATAGAGTCTCAAGTTAGGAATAGGTTATATAACAAAAATTGTATTTAATAAAGTTATTTGTATATTATTATCTGAAAAGTAGTTTTATTATAGGTAATTATATATTATATATGTTATATATTGGTTGCAAAGAAAAAGTTATTCTTCCCAAAGGGCCTTTTAAGCCTTTATTTATAATTAAAATCTTCTATGTACATTATGCAATGGATACGACTGATATCACTAAAACTATTAATCAGTCATATCCTACTGATATTTCCCTTCCACTCGATCACTGCTATCCGCCACATCTGACGTATGCGTTACATGCGACTGATCGGTCGCATGCGATGAATGCGAAGGATGCGACGGATGCGATTACTAATTAGGTAATATCCCACCCGAACGGCCAGGGTCCATTCGGGTCCCACAGATCAAAATCCTGACAGACAAGATCCCGACAGGACTAAGGATCGCTCCGAAAGTTTTTGGAGTGCCGAAATGTTAATTCAGTGGGAAGTTTCAATAACATGGAACCTAATGATCACATCACATGATCAAACATTTGGCCTAAGTTAGTGCTAGAGTTAGTGTTAGGTGATATTTTAGTGCTGGTAGCACCCAGAAAATTTGTACCAGGTTGGTGCGCCACAGTGGCGTAATGGTTCGGAAGACCTTTAATTGGAATTTGAATATAATAAATAATAAAATACAAGATGCGTACGTACATAGTAGTGATAGCAATTATGAACAGAAAATTTAAAATTTATTCAATTTATTTACGTACTGTACAAGCTATTTTAAGAACCTATTCGCTATAATAAGTTTTTTTCTTTTTATTTACGCAAAACATTTAAGCTATTAGCTAATTTAAGAACTTAATATTCTTACAAGGTATTTAAGCAATTTATGAATCTAATAATATTAATTCTGTTAAATTATGATTTTTCCTTTCAATTTATTAAAACCTTACAAATTAATTTGTTTTGTTATTCGAGACATTCTTTAATAAATTATGAATCTTTTTTGAAGTTTTTCTTTTTTTGCGCATAGCCATTAAGGATGAATCAGTATTTTCTTTTTCTTGATGTTTTCTTCTTTGAATTGATGATACTTGTACTTTAATTTTCTTTCCACTTCGAAGTGATTCAGCTTGTGAGGAGTTTTGTTGATAAAAATATGTAATCAAGTTACCTACAGACAAGGATTCAGATTTTTCATATCCTTTTTTAAAATGTTCGATTCCGGTAAGGAGTTGACTATTATTTTTGGTATTATTTATGATTTGTTGAAAAAAATTTTCAATTGATGTAATGCAACTTTCATATTCATAATCACTATTAAAAAAAAGGTAATGGTGTAAATAAATAATATGAAATAATGATACTTGGAAATATGAACATACCGAATAATATTAATAGTGCCGAATTCATTATTATTATTATTACTTAGCATTAGCATTTCTGAATTTTGAATATTTATTTCCAAGCTTTGAGTGTCTATTTCCACATTTTGAGTATTTAAATTTACTTGCAGGTCTTGTGTATTTGAAATTACTAATGTACGTAAGGATGCATAAAAGGAAGGATCTTTCACAATTGTACCTTGTATAACATTACAATTATATTAAACGATAAAAAGACTGATAATTTAATGCTAATAAATAAACTTACTACATGCAATGTATCGATATATTATACAATCGTTAATTGAAAGAGCAAAAATAAAATCAAGTAATTCTATCTGATATTTAATTACAACAGCTGCTTGATGTTTGCAAGGAGTTCCTCCAAGAGCAGCAGAACATGTGCATGTTCCTATAGACAGATCAATTATATAAAATTGGTCAGGTTTAGTTACACTAGGTACAATATAAATATTATTAATATCATCATGTTTAATTTCTTGCTGATTTACTATCTCCCATCCAGGGCAAAAAAATCGTTTTGATAATTCTAAATAGCCTGTTTGCCATTTGCGATAGCTAATAATCATCTTTCATAAAAATGTTCCATATTAGTTATTATAAATTGGAAGATTTGAACTGCATTATAAGCTTGAGTAGGGCAAAAATTATATCTTTTATGAGTCCAAAGCTTCGCTCTACATAATTATTTGTATGATTTCCCCGTAATAACAAGTTTTGCCAATATGATAGTGCCCAAGAATTTCGTCATTCCCACATATGCGTGCAGTGTACTGCAAGTTGATTATACCTAATAAAATATTTGCTTTTAAATTCAAGAAACCTATTTTCCATTTCTAAAATAGAAGATGCATATAAAATTGCTTTAAATGACTGGATAATTGGTACACGATTATCTTTGTGAATTCCATGTTTTGACTCATATAATCAATGCCAAAATGCTTGCAGCACATGAAAAATACATAATAATTTAATACTAGATGGCCAACTAAGATCAAGAGCATTACGTTCAGCATATGAATTATCAGTAATAAAGACTTCAGAGTCAAGGTTTATTCCGTGATTATAGAATGCATTGCCCGGTAATATCGTTTTAAATAAATTAATAGCATTTTCGATTGTAACTTCAATTTCATCTGAAATTAAAAATAATCCTAGCGGTAAAGCTCCAGCAGCACAGCTAGTATATAGAAGAGAAATGAACATGTTAAGTAGATCAAAAGATGCAAAGGCATCAAAATAACAAAGCTCGCCAGCTTGATGTATTTTTTCATGCACTCTTTTCATTAAGTTTGTCACAATACAGAGTATAAATGAAGTATTAATAGAAGAATTATATGTTTGAAAAATTGCCCTTCCTTTGCCGGAATTATTGTATTCATTAAACATTTCTTCTAGTCGTATAAACATACCTCTTCCGTTTGATCACCTAGTTGTGATTTATGAAATTGATTATAGAGATGCTTTATAAAATCTTGATCAGGATTTTTTGCTCGATCTGCTAATAATTGTACAAGTTTATCATCATCGGATGTTGATAAATGTAATTGGTCTTCAAATATATGTCTTGCTGTAGCCGCTGAATGTCCCATATTAAATAAATTAATATACTGTTTTTGAGTTTCTTTACTAACAGGGTGAAAACTAAGTGAGGCAGCTGAATTAGGTAAGTGATTATGAGTAAATCGAAGATTTATCTCAAGTGGATGTGTATATATTAAATATGATTTTCTTAGACGAAAATTAATTGTTGCAGAGCAATTTATGTCTCTATTACATTGACTATTGGGATTTTTAATATCGCGGCTACTATTTTTTTGTTTTACTATATCGCTATGAATACAGTGCCGTAACTCTCTAAAAACCACCCTTTGCCCTTTAGTTATATAAGTTCTTGTTAATCGCATTGTAGTCTTTGAAATCTCTTGAAATTCATCTAACCATTTTAGGGCACTTTCCTTAGTATTAATATTAACATAAAAATCTGTATCAATTTGACCAATAGTTATATTTTCCGAAGTAAGTATTGGTTCAAGTTCGATATAATTCTCAATTTGGTATGTATAATTTGATGGAAGTATTTGTTGAAGTGAAAATGGTAAATCAGAAAAATTAGCTGGTGGGCTAATTAAAGGTTGGTTAATTAAATTTTGCATCTTTAATGTCGTAAAAGAAGAATTAAAATATTTAATATTGATGCAATTTTTTATTATTGTTAATTGATATTAGTAATGATGCATCGCTATTTTAAAATTCTAATTAAAGGACTTCCGGACTGTTACGTCACTGTGGCGCACCAACCAGGTACACATTTTCCAGGTGCGTGCTGGTAAACAAATGACGTCATTGCATGATTTCACGTGATGTACATTGGGTTCCGTGTTCCAATTTAGCATCTTATGATTAAGAATATGATCTTGTGTCACAAGGATTGTTAACCATAAGCTACGCCAAGAAGATTTTGTTCGATCAAACTTTTTATATATATTTAACAATTTAGCAAAAAAAAAAATATATATTTAATTATTAATGCGAAGGGAAGAAGCAGCCACACGATTTCGCCCTCATAATCATCACAGGTGAGACCAAGCATGTGAGAATCTGTAGATGGCTAAAAGAAGAGGTGTGGCGTACGAATATCAAAGACTAATATGGTTAACGACAATGAAATATGAATAGAGAACGAAGAAAAAATGGTAAGTATATAAAACCGGATATAACGAAGCCAGGTCCACAAGTGCTTGAACGGTAAATTCGCGCGACCCACCCATCCTGAAATGGAAAAGACCCGTGATCCTATCATTTCCTCACTTGCATTCTTCACTCACAGGTGGCTTGCTTAGGCAGGCGGGAAACCACCGACTACAATAATACTACGGTGACTCCCAACGCAATTATGATTGCTTTTTTTCGGGATGTCATTACCGTTCTTGCCATCAATCATTTCTCACAACTTTCAATAAAAATAACCTCCGGCCCAAATTATTCTCCGACATAGTCCAAATAAATGCAGTGTGTCCTTTAATGCTTTTCGATAAGTAAATAACAATTTGGCATATTTTCGACATCTCTTTATATCTGAATTCTTTGTGACTGCATTTAATTTCGATCTATACTGCATTATTAATAGATAATCTTTGAATTACGTAATTGGCAATATAAATTGGGGTGCACCCTGAAAAATCTGGAATTTGATCATTGTGTGAACCATAATATTGGTCGAAAATAGAATGATTAACATCAACTACTGTAGTACACTCGCAGAAATTCATAGAAAAATTCACACATCTTTTGATATCGAGTAAACATACGATCATTAATACGTAATTGAATTAAAAAGTGAATATAAAAGTTGTTGAATTTTTTTGTTCTGAAATGTTGTTATTAATCAACATTTTAAATTATTAAAACAGAATGCTTCTTACTGAAAATTTATCCATTGATCCTCTTATTTCTGGTGGAGTTATTCCCGATGGTATGTACTGTATTATCAATTCTTTATGTTTACTTAATTATAACTTGCTAATTTTTATTGATTTTTTAAGTCGTGGATAATTTTGTACTCGAGGCACTGCTTGATATAAAATATGGTGAAAAGAAAGTAGAATTTGGTAATGAACTTTCTATTGAAGGTAATAAAGAATTGGTTATATTGTTATAACATTTTATTAGTGTCAGTTTTTTAATTGAATTATATTGGTTTTTGACAGAAACCCAAAAAGCACCCGATGTTAGTTTTGTGTTTGGTGAATCAGATCCAAATTCTCTATATACATTAATTTTGGTAACGGTGTTTATTATGCAAAAAATTATTATCTCGTAATTTATTTATTTAATTATTGTATATAAACATTCTTGTAGACTGATCCCGATGCACCAAGCCGTAAGGAACCAACTAAAGGAGAATGGCGTCATTGGATCGTTGGGAACATTCCATGTAATTATTTTATGCATCTTAAATTTCTTGTGGATCAATATGACTAACTAAACATTATGATAACAGCTAATGGAAAATTGTCTGAAGCAACACACCTTGATAATTACCAAGGACCAGCTCCACCCCCAAATACTGATTACCATCGGTATGTCTTATAATTATGTGGTTATCGACATTGATAATATACACGGTAAATGTTCATAAATATTTATTAACCAATTTTAAATGTTCATAGATATGTGTTTTTGTTATATCGTCAACCATTAAATCATCAACAAACTTCACATATCGATTATCCGGATTTAAACAAAGTGGATAGACCTAATTTCAAAGCTCGCAAATTTGCCGAACAATACGGATTAAAACTAATCTCATCCTGCTATTATCAAAGCAAGAAATATTAAATTTTCGAATGATGATCCTTTCTTTTTACATTATATTATGTATCAATAAATTTGTATTTTATTAAATTACAAATCAATTAAATTGAATCTGTTTAATTATCTTGGAAATGATTATTGGAAAAATAATAACACTTTTAAATATAGGATAGGAAACAGGGTCTGTTATTCTAGAGCACCTCATCTTGCATCAAACTTGTCTCGATATTATTGACTGAGCTAAATTGATGCCTAGATTTGATACTAATCTTGAAAACACTATTTCGAGCTCTTAAGAACTGTGTGTAAAATACAAATAAAAAATATTACATTATTTATTTAAAGAAATAATCCACTATTAACTAGATTCTTAAACCACTGTTGATTATAACTAACCGAATTTAGGTATGATGAAATTACGGTCGTATTTCATTTCATTCAGATACATTTAATTACAGTAGAGCATTGCAAATTTCTGTAATGTTTTCAACCTTCGGTAAGTTATTTAATGTTCGTTTTGCACTTTCGGCACAATGAATTTATCAAAAGTATTTCAGCATGTCAAAAATACTTTTGGAGCAAATTTTAGTAATACGGATCAAATCACTAGTTCGAGCTAAAAATTGGAATACTGGAAATAGATGAATAGATTACCCAGCATCAATCAAGCTTTTTTTTTAAACTTAGCATTCACTAAGTATAATATAAAAAACTAGATATTGTAATGATTTGATTGGATATTTTGCAACATGCGAAAGATATTCAGAATGTTCCAGAATAAATAAATAGGCATTGACTTTTAATAGAGGAACTTGTCTTTATAAAGAAAAAATTAATGATGTTCGAGTTTAGATGCACGATTCCAATTTCTGGTTAGAATTTTGATTGGTAACATTCATGTAGGTCAATTGACTCGCATAACCACCAAGGAAGATGTTATAAAAATAATTAAAAGACAGTATAAATCTAATTTATATTTTAGCTAATACCACCTTAAATAAAAATTAATTTATAAGACCTTTAAGTATAAATGTTTTATTCCTATTTCGTAATTTTCATAATTAATGTAGTTTTAAATTAGAAGAGAAGTGGGAGACTAAGATAGCAATTAAATTACTCAGATTTATAACTATATCATTTGTCTATTGCACTGATAGTGAGTTAAAAAAAAAACAGGAGCTACCGGATAATCAAAAATAAATAATAAACAAAGGAAACGAGGAAGAATATATGATCATTCTTCGGCTTTTTTTTCTTTTTTTACAAAATTTTCATCCACCATCTTGTTCACTACTCTCTCACAAATACTCCATTTCAAAACTGCAAAAGAATTATCACCTATTTTTTTTACAATAATGCTAACACAATCATTTCTCCTAAATTCTTTTTCTCCATCTATTTCACTTAATTCATCTTTCATTATATTAATAACGAATGGAAAAATGAAACATTCCAGAATATCATTGATAACTTGGAATGAAGGTGTCATTTCATCTAGGAAACAAATCATTTTCGCGACATCATCATAATACAAACGTGATGGATAAAACCGACCAAAAAAATTTTCGAGCCGTTGATTCATAGTGATAGATAATAATGACTGATTCCATCCGCGAATCTAAATTCAGAACTATCATTATTATTTATGTTACGCAATAAAAGTACTTTTTTCAAAAATATATGCTATAAGTAGAACAGAATTTAAATGGATTTAGAAATCTCTTAATAAATTAGAACTTTTATAAAGCTTATATATTTCTTATAAACCTCTAATCCTAAAATCTTCAAATCTATATCCATTTAAATTTCGTTCTCACTTACAGCATATATTTACTTTTATGAAAAAGCTAAAGGTACTTCGAGATTAAACATTCGTTGATATGATTTATTTCTCAAAAGTTCATCAATTATAATAATAGGGACTAATCGCTTCCATTTCTGACAAGTTGCTCTAATTTTATAAAGTGCCTGAAACCTGTAATTTACCTATAATTAGTAAACGAAAATAACCGAATTATTATAATAAGTATCATATGATTACCCAGATTCATGCAAGACTTCTTGAAGAACTCCCAGAATGAGCTCATTGGGAAGATTTATCATAAGGAATCACGAAATCAAAGACTAGCAGTGAGTTTATTATTATCAACCCCAGTAAAACTTGCAAAATTGTAATTTTCAAATAATAAATCGATTAACTGTTGATGAGCTTGTAAAATATCACTTGTAATTCATATGTAAAGATAAGACCACACAGGAAGTGCAAGTAGCGTTGAGTTGTAAAAAGATGCAAAGTAAAAATTTAAATAGTTATAATCAAATCGAACAATGCAAATGTATTTTATTACCTTGCATCAATAAATCGCGTCATATGACGTCCCCAGATATTAACACCTCGGGGTCTATAAAAAAAAAGTATATATATCACTGGTAATCGTGTTTTTTTTTTATAATAAAATAATGCCTATTCGTCATAATTATACTATTATAAGTACGTGAGTTGTAGAAATAAGCATTCTCTTATAATATTTTGAATTGGATTTTCTTGTAACTAAAGTAGTCATTAGCCATGACGATATATAGTGAATCGCAATTCAAAAATGGCAAGTTTAAACCATTTTTGAAAGTTAGGCGGTTTTTAAATTGATTACGTATTAACGTTAAAGGATTTATAAATTAAAAATCACATGATGCCTATAAAATATTACGTACAAGACTTTCATTTTTGATTACCATATGATTCATATGATTGACCGCATGATTTAGTACGAGTTAAACAAACTGCCATTAACTTTATATTTTTCTTTATATACAATCATTCAACATAATTGTCCACTTTAAAATTATCTCAAAATATAATAAAACTAATAACCAATATTTCAAACTATGAACAATTTATTATAAAAAACATTATGTACTTATCATAAACATAGTAACTTTCTAAAACATGCTTTATTTTCTTTGAATGTTATTATGGGCAGTGAAGCCATCTACAAGATCATATCTCTAGTTATTATAAAATTTATTACCTATCGAAAATCTTCATTAATAAATTTTATTATATAGTTTTGATTTCATAGTACATCTTGCACCCCAATGATTCATGTTGAAAAAGTGGTTGTTGTCTGCTTCGCATTAAATAACTATATATTACACAAAACCAAATCTTTATCGTATGTCGATATCAATATGATTAAGTTATGAATATACTTATCGTTTAGCTTGTAACACTAGTACAGAATACAAATACGCAAATAGTACATTGTGTTCGTTAATATTTCTATAAATTACTTTTGTTCATTAACGTTAACAAAGGATCTGAATTGAATTTTAACCTATAGCAATGGGCGATTTAGAATTAGTAACTTCGTACAATGATATTATTTTACCGACTACATGGGATATTGAAGATAAATTGCCATTTATTGACATAGATTCAAGTGGACTTTAAGTGAGTTATACAGGTAATATGAAAATTAATATCAGTCATGGGACATTTCTTCTTATAAAAGCTCAAAATGTTGTCTAAAATAAAAATTATAGTAAAAACATATGAATTTACTATTAACATTGAGCTGAAGATCCTTTTTAACTAAAAATTAAATTTTGCGATTATAAAGAGCATAAGAAAAAGAATAAATTTAGCTTAAAAACTAAATTAAAATTTTGCTAATTTTGTATATTTTAAAGATGTAACTTCTTCAAAAATAATTATTTTTTAATTTTAAAATAATTATTATATGTAATATTATGCATTGAAAACCTTTACTTTGAAGATAAAAATAGGTTATCTTAGTATAAAAATAAGTTACTATGTTTTAAATATAAATATTTTTGTTTATCAAGATAGGCTATTTTGACTTAAGTAGACCTGTTCAACATAAATAAACTTGTTCAACACAATATTTTAGATGCATATATCTGTCAAAATACATTTTTTTAAACCTTTAATCTTATTTTTTATTTAATAAAAGGTTTAAAAAAATTTAAGAAATCAAAATAGGTTGCCTTAGTAAAAAAAAAAAAAGTTCCATATAGATAAACAAAAAATATTTATCTTTAACACATAGTAACTTATTTTTATGCTAAAATAACCTATTTTGCCTTCTAGGTAAAGTTTTTCAGTGCATAATATTGCATATAATAATCATTTTAAAATTAAAAAATAATTGTTTTTGAAGAAGTTACATCTTTAAAATAGACAAAATTAGCAAAATTTTAACTTAGTTTTTAAGCTAAATTTTTTCTTTTTTTTTTGTTCTTTATAATCGCAAAATTTAATTTTAAATTATTTAGTTAAGTTGAAAAGGCTCTTCAGCTCAAAGTTTATAATAAATTCATATGTTTTTACTATAATTTTTATTATAAACAACATTCTAAGGGAAAAGTCCTTTGTTTGATATGTTACTGTAATCATTAGCATTTAAAAGAATCCCATCATAGCTATTTAATTTATTAAACCTTTTAATTAAAGATCCCGATGAATATAAAGCTGTAATCGTTCGAGCAAACAATCCAATCCCTTCAAAGTGTGGGATTTTTTACTTTGAAATTAAATTTACAAACAAAGAAAAAAATGGGTAATAATAATAATATTTCGTAACATAAATATCACCTTTGTTCTGGTGATTTTTTATAATCTTTTAATTCTATTTTCTTAATAGAATGATTGGAATCGGATATTGTACAAGTCAAAGCGATAAATAAATAGACGATTCAGATTATTTAAATAACATGCTCATGCCTGGTAATAGCGAATTTTTATTTTATTTTCTTATTATTATAGATTAACGTCTATCTCATGTCTTTTAGGACAGGAAGTCAAGGAAATGAATCATGGGGGTGCGGTTACCATGGTGACGACGGATATTCTTTTTATTCAGGAAGTGGTAGGCTATATGGAGAGTCATATACTACTGGTGATATAATTGGATGCTATTTAAATTTTAGAAATAAGATGGTATTTTACATTAAAAATGGAATTAACTTAGGTAACCAACATTTAGAATTTAAAGCGATACTTTTTAAAACGAATAGACAGATATTTAATAATTATAAAATATTTTAAGAAATTGCATGCTATTTATCTAATGATTTCAGAGGCATTTTATGTCCCTGTATTGGATTTAGATCGCAAGGCGGATCAATAGAAGTGAACTTTGGCAACAAAAAATTCAAATATTCTGGTAAATTTACTCATAAGGTTTAATCATTTCTGCTTATTTAGAACTTAACATTGCTTATATATATTTCAATTGACAGCGATGACTAATGAAAACGTTAGCATGAAACCAAATAATAATGCATTAGCATTGAAATTTCAAGAAAAGGTTTACTTTATTATAGGTGGTATGAAAATATACTTATTAATTTAACCAATGAATTAACAAAATTACTAGAAAAAAAAGGCCAGTTAATGTATTTGAATTAACCTACAGAGGAAAGATATATTTTATTATAGGCGAATATGATAAGGTATTGGAAGATTTAACTAGACTACTAAAAATCATGCCAAATAATACAATATCTTTAAGATATAGATGTGAAATTAATTATATGATGAAAAGATATAATGAATCAATTGCTGACTTGAAGAAATGATTAAAGATTAAACCAAATGACGTATGGGCAAAGAAGGCTTATGAATTAGTTAAGAGGTTGTAAGTATGATATGCATTTGTAAATTTTAGTACGTAGCTTAAAAAAGCTTAGAAGTAAGTAATAATTCGATTATCACTTATGTCAATCACAAGTCTGTAAGTACAGTAACAGAATTTTTTATAGCCAATCACTATAGGTTATATAACTCTAAATCACTTGTATCACCACAAGTATAGTAAACTGGAATTTTTTTACAATGAATCACATTCATTCCAATATAAAACTAACATAAACATATCCAAATCACTTGTTCACCACAATAGTCCGTAAGAATTTTTTACAGTAAATCACTAGAAATCACGTTCATTCCAATACAAAACTAACATATTCGTATCAAAATCACTTGCACCACTATAGCTCGTAAGTAACTATAGAATCACGTTCATTTCAATACAAAGCTAGCATAACCATATCTAAATCACTTGTATCACTATAGCGAGTAAGTACAGTAAACCAGAATTTTTTACAGTAAATCCCTATAGTATCACGGGGAAAATAGGGCGACTTCAAGGATGGAACAAATGCAACGAATTGTCGCTTCAAAAATGTCGACGTCGCGTAATGTTACTCGAAAAGCAAGATGAGGCGGTACGATTTGGCAATGGCTAAGGCGCTTTCGAGCAAGTTACTGGGTAAGGATAGGGACTTTTTTAAAGAACGTTTATTTGTATTTTATTCTTGTTATAATTTATAACTGTTATTATTTGTAATTAATTTATTAATTATTTTCTTTAAGTTACAGGAGTATGGGGGCCAGGGGTCATATCCTACTTAATGTCAAAACAGAGGATTATTTATAACAAATTATTAAAGAAGTATCTTGGGAATGTTCTCACTTTTTCTATCTTAATGTTTTCTTTGTCTGTTAATCGTACCATTTCACTCTTTGACTTATGCTTCTGTCTTTTCATTAACTTCTCT